GTAGCTGCGCCATGGCTGGTGGACCGTTCTTGTGAAAGTGGTTGCAGAAGTTTGAGGTTTCAACTGGCCAGGGGAGGGCAGGAGGGAGGGCTCTTCAGTGCTGTAGCTGAAAGGTGCCTGGGAGGGAAGTCTCCCTCATGGTCCAGGGTCTGGATATCAGTCTGGCAGGGCCAGGCCTATAGCAGCATTCAGTGACCCAGGGCTGGCCTAGGCCAGGGAGAACAATGCCCCTGACCAAAGGCACTGAGTCCTGAGAGAGGTACAGGCACAAATTCATTCCCTGGTCCCAAAGCCGAGAAAGGCAGTCAGGAAAAATGCATTCATTACACAAGTCCGTGGTAAGCCCCTGCCAGGTAATACATTAGCACTCACAGACTACAGAGAGTTGGAGTTTAATCAAATCCAACCACAGAGGGTGGGGTGTCCAGGCTAGCAAACCCCCGGAGGAGGGCTCCATCACGCCACCATTGTCTGTTCACCCTGTTTCCAGTGGCCTCAGAGCTCACAGTTGGCACATTCTCTCTAACTGAGGAAGAGGGTTTGGAGAACGAGGGTCTGAACCACCCTAACTTAGGAGGCCTCCTTCCGGATGCCCAGCTCTAAGAGGGTCTGCAAAGTCCTTGCATTCACTGCCTGCTTCCCCTGCAAGCTGATAGCAACAGCTGCCCTTGAAGGACAGCCTCGAGGGGCTCAATAGAGAAAGCAGCAATAGGGCAAAACAATACAGCTGACTCCACGACACTGTGGTGCACCCACTGTGTGCCGGCACTGCAGCAGCACTTCACATTTATGCTCCAGGAACTCTCCATGGTAGACCAGCAGTGCCTCCATCTGGAAGTGAGGGGGTGGGCTCCAGTCGAGCAGCTTGTACGAGTGGGTGATGGTGCTGGCACGGGCACCCAGGTCAATTCCTGGTCCCCTCTCAGTTCTGCTCCCGATGAGCTCCTACAGCTAAGTGCTATGGCTTACAGCCTGACCTAGTTTGTGACGGATGGAGAGGGCCAGAGATGGCTTCCCAGAGGGACCTGGGAGGAAGGAGGAGTTTCCTTCCAAATCAGGTATGACCTAGAAGCAGACAAAAGGGTAGGACTTGTGTGTGGAAGATTGGGGTGGCTGGAACATGGGGACAGGGTCCAGAGAGAGGTGACAGGAAGGAGGCAGAAGGGACACCCAGAGGCCAGAGACCAGGAGGGCCAGGCAACAGGCTATTTCATCAGTCTTCTTTCAGTCTAGATGCTAGGGCCTGGGACCAGCCCCAGCAGTGGCCCCAGAACCTGCCCTCCATCTTCTGGCTGTTCAGGGACCTTCAACGGTCCCTTCCCCTCGGCTGTCACTCATCTGCACCCCTGAGCAACCAACAGGCCAACATCCCCAAATGGCCCAACATGGCAGGGCTGGGTCTGGAGTCCTGTCTCAGGTTTGTTCCAGTAACCCAGAGCAGCCCACAGCTGTGGCAAAATGCCTGCACAACTTGGTGCTGCTGAGGGATCAGAGTTGCCTCTGGGAGAGTGCAGAGGTCGCCGAGTGCCCTGGACCCTGGAAGGAGGGCAGCCTAGTTATGCACAGCCCACTCCAGCTCCGTCCTGGAACAGCTTGCGTTCTGGGGGCAGGAGTGGTACAGCCCAGTTGAGGAGCATTCTGCAACTTTTAAAATCTCTAATGGGGACCACCATCCCCATCTCCCAGGTTTGGAAACTGAGGTCCAGGGGATGTGATTTACCCAAAGTCATGCAGTGGGTCGCCACCGAGGAACCCAGCGCACTTTTAGCTCCTACACAGTGACTCTCCATCAAGGCTCCCTTATCACAGGAGAGGGGCGTCTGCTGCAGGGGCCTCTGATAAGGATAAGATCAGGAGGGAACAAGGCCACTGGGACCTTGTGAAAGGGGTTGCCAAAGTGAAGCGGCTATTTCAAGAGCAACTGTCTGGGGGAAAGGTGGCTGCAGAGGACACCGGTCAGGGTCTAGGCAGGCCAGGGGCTGGTGGAGCATAGTATACAAGGAGACTTGGAACAAGGCTGCTGGGGCCTGAAGGACTCCACAGTGAAAAGGAATGGGTACATCCACCCGAAGAAGGTGAGGCAGGCCGCCAGACACAGCAGCAACGACTCTGGAGCTATCTCAGAGCTGAGCACGTGCTCTCCAGGCAGCCAGTAAGGGTCAGGGCCAAGGCTGGGCAGGGTTGGTCCAGTGGAAATGGCAGGAGGAGAGGCAAGGGGGCCCGAGAGAGGCTGGGTCCCCAGAGGAAGACTGATAGAGGCCGTGCTCCTCTTCAGATGTGCTTACGAAGGATTCCCTAAGGTTCCTCGGTTAGCAGATTCAAACCCAGCTTGGTCTGAGCCCACTGCAGCAGGTCACCTCTGAAGAAGCTACCTCTGGTCATGCCCAGTGGGAACTCAGGATTTAAACCACTGCTCAGAGTGAACCCACTGCTGATCGGAGTTAAAGAAACGCCTATGGAAGCGCAAGGCCACAGCAGGCACTCCATGTTTATGGAGACCCACTGCCAGCGCCTCGCCCAGCTGGGGGTTTACCTGTGAGGTTTCACTGCATCCCCCAAATGGTCTTGTGAGGTATTTGATTGTCAGGTCCTGCCTCAGCCATTGCACCCTCTCCCTGGCAACTTCAAGGGAGCTGGTATGGCTAGGAGGTAAAAAGAGGAGATCAAATCATGGCTCCTGCATCGTTCTTTCACTCAACGCTTCTCAAGCACCAATTGAACACCAGGCCTGGGTTTGCTGGGAGGAATAAACAGTAAGGTGGACCTAGTTTCTGCCCTGTTGGAGAAAAAGAGGGGCCTATCCAATCGTCTAGCTCAACTCTCTTTTCAGCGATTTGGAACCTGGGGCCTGGAGAGGGGAACTGACATGCCTGAGGTCGTGCAGCTTGTTGGTGGCAGGGCTAGGCCCAGTCCTCTTTGGGGGCACACTGCTTCTTGGCCCTCCAGCAAACTGTCTTTGAACAACACCTGTGTCCCAGGAGCTGCTCTTGGCCCTGGGGAGGTATGAGGGGTTTCAAAAAGGTTAAGAAAAAAATTGAATTGAGTTTATTGGGTCAGATGGTGGTATGGAGGTTAAGGTGCTGAATCCCACATAGCCAACTCTGTGGTTCAAGTCCTGGACCCAGTGGCTTGGAAATCACACCAACCCAGTGGCTTGGAAATCACACCAGGTGTGTACATGCCCAAGGTCCTGAGAGGAGACTGGAGGAGAAGGGATTGTGCTGTGACCATCCCCCCTGGGGCGTGATTTCTCTCTTTCTCTCTTTCTGGCAAGAGCACACACCCT